CTCTATAGCTCTGGACGCTCGTTTCGACCAGGACGAACCTCTTAACGGCCTGCAAGTTCCACTCTGACCGATACCGGATGGGGATTTTGAGCTTGTTCCCCTCGGCACAGACCCGAACAAAGGAGTGAAGATTGGCAAGGATCTCCCCGACCTGGCAAGGAAGCAAATCAAGGCCTGCTTGCGCGAGAATGCTGACCTGTTCGCCTAGAGCGCCGCGGAGATGCCCGAACTCGACCCTGAGGTCGCCTGTCACCACCTCGCCATAGATCCTGCCGCTAGGGCTGTAGTACAATGTAGGCGTAGGCAGTCTCTAGAGAAAACGGAGGCTGCTGAAAAAGCTGTAAAAGACCTCCTAGAGGCAAATTTTATTTCTGAAGCCCGGTATTCCACCTGGCTGTCAAACGTTGTACTTGTTAAAAAGAATAATGGAAAATGGAGGATGTGTGTTGACTATACCGATCTCAACCGGGCCTACCCGAAAGATGCTTTTCCTTTACCGAACATAGACATGCTGGTCGACAACTCGGCCGGCTACAGAACATTGTCGTTCATGGATGCTTACTCGGGCTATAACCAAATCCTGATGGTCGTGGGCGACAAACACTGCACGACTTTCATGACCAGCTCGGGCAACTATTACTACAACGTAATGCCCTTCGGACTGAAAAACGTCGGGGCAACTTACCAACACATGATGAACAAGGTTTTCCACAATCAAATTGGGGAGATGCTCGAGGTTTACATGGACGACATGATCGTCAAATCCCGAGTAGACACCGACCATGCAGCATACCTCAAGGCAATCTTCGCCCAAGCAAGACAAAGCAAAATGAGATTCAACCCCGAGAAATGGACGTTCTGGGTCAAGGCAGGAAAATTCCTCGGATTCTACCTAACAGAACGAGGAATCGAAGCCAATCCCGACAAGTGTCGAGCGTTCTCCGACTTCCCGACACCGACCTCGAAGAAGTCGATACAAGTCATGAACGACATGCTCACATCATTGTCCCGTTTCATCACGAGGTCTGCTCAGCACGCCCTCCCCTTCTTCAAACTCCTTCGTAAAGAAGCAGCCTTCGAATGGAACGAGGAGTGTGAACGGGCACTGCGCCACCTAAAAAAAAGTTTATCTCAACCGCCCATATTATCTCGACCAGTCGACGGGGAGCCACTGTTCCTATACTTGGCCGTCTCGAACGAAGCCATCAGCGTGGCTCTCATCCGCGAGACCACTGACGGACATAAACTTGTCTACTTCACGAGCAAAGCCCTACAAGGACCCGAAAGCAGGTACCAACAGATAGAAAAGGTAGCCCTAGCCCTTGTCAACGCGACGAGGAGACTCAGACACTACTTTCTGGCCCACACAATCATCGTACGAATCGACCAACCAGTGAGGCAACTCCTGAGTCGGCCCGACATGGCGGGAAGAATGTTGAGATGGTCCTTGGAGCTCTCCGAATTCGACATTCAATACGAGAGCAGGAAAGCCCTGAAAGCACAAGCCCTAGCCGACTTTGTCGCGGAAATGACCGCTCATGACCCACCTACCGGGAAGGAACACAAATGGACCATCTTCGTCGACGGGGCCTCCATCTCGTCCGGAAGTGGCGCGGGAATCCTCCTGGAGAACGAAGAAGGCGTAGTGGTCGAACACTCATTAGCTCTCTCCTTCCCAACGTCGAACAACCAAGCAGAGTACGAAGCCCTGCTCGCAGGACTGAGGCTAGCCGAGGACCTGGGAGCCCGCGAAGTACAAATCTACACAGACTCCCAACTCGTCGCCTCCCAAGTCCAGGGGAGTTACCAAGCCAAGAATGACAGCCTCGTCGAATACTTAAACTTAGTCAAAAAATACATGGCAAAGTTTGAAAGAGCGGAGATCTCACATGTCCCGCGCGAGCAAAACACAAGGGCAGACATATTGTCCAAACTCGCGAGCACGAGGAAGAAGGGCGGAAACAAATCCGTCATACAAGAATCCTTAGCACGCCCGAGCATCGAAAGATCCTCGACACCAGTCGAAGTCCACGCCATAGGAGACGCCTCGTCCTGGATGACCCCGGTGTACAATTTCCTGACGAAAGGCGAACTACCCTCGAACCAGACAGATGCAACCACCACAAAGCGACAAGCATGCTCGTACGTGGTGCTCAAGCAAAAACTCTACCGCAGAGGATTCTCCACTCCCCTCCTGAAGTGCATCGACGAATCCACAGTACCTGAGGTACTGCGGGAGATACATGAAGGGATCAACGCCCAGCACATGGGCGGTAAATCTCTGGCGAGGAAAGCCCTTCAAGTGGGGTATTATTGGCCGACGATGCAGCAGGACACCAAGGAACACGTCAAGAGGTGTGACAAGTTCCAGAGGCACGGGGACATGCACCTCGCCCCCCCTCACGAACTAAGTATACTGTCATCCCCGTGGTCGTTCGCGTGGTGGGGTATGGATATCCTCGGTCCCTTCGTGCAAGGGACCTATCAAAATAAATTCCTCATCGTGGCCGTGGATTACTTCACGAAATGGATAGAAGCCGAGGCTCTCGCGAAGATCACCTCACACAACATCCTCCGTTTCTACAAGATAAACATCCTCGCCAGATTTGGAATCTCGAGGGCACTGGTGACCGACAACGGCACCCAATTCACCGACCACGGGTTCCAGGACTTCGTCACCAAACTAGGAACAAAACAACACTTCACCTCGGTCGAGCTCCCTCAAACCAACGGGCAAGCCGAAGCCGCGAACAGAGTCATTCTCCGTGGACTCAAACGCCGACTCGGCGAAGCAAAGAGGGGTTGGGTCGAGGAACTGCACAACGTCTTGTGGGTATACCGCACCATGCCCCACTCAACGACGGGCGAGACCCCCTTACGACTAACGTACGACACCGAGGCCGTCATCCCAGTGGAAATCAGGGAACCCTCCAGACGGACAGAGAATCCCCTCGATGAAGAAATGAACGACGAGGCACTCAGGGACGAACTCGACTTAGTCGAAGAAATCCGATCGGGGGCGGCCCTACGCGAAGCCACCCTAAAACAACGAGTGGCTTTGTGCCACAACGACAAGGTCATTAAACGCGAGTTCGAAATCGGCAGCCTGATGTTACGAAGGAACCAGAAAGACGCCCGCGAAGGGAAATTGGCCGCGAACTGGGAAGGGCCTTACCGCGTTTTTGCTCTTCTCTTTCAATGATTGATCTTCTCTTTCAAGTAAACAATTATTAACATGATACACAAGTACTAAAAGATTATGATGCCGAAAGTTTCTGGAATGAAAAATGTTATGTAGTAAGTTTCAAACAAAGTTTAAGAAACAATGCACTTGTATTTGAAAATTGAGAGAATAATGTGTTTTAATTAGGTGAGATTTTAAATTTGAAGAACACAGAATATATATGTGCATTACATCTTTTTGAAAGAGTATAAATTGATCAAACAATGCAATGATTCATGGTGAAGAAACAAAATTCGTTTGAAATATTATTTTCGTAAAAAGTGTTACTGGTTCAGTGGTAACCGGTTACCTCACCATATAACCGGTTACCTCACATGTAACGTTAAAAATTTTCAAAAAGAAAAACAGTTCATGTAACCGGTTACCTCATCATATAACCAGTTACCTCACTGAAAATATGCAAAAACACGTAAATGCAGAGGTACTATCCAAGGCCATGTAATCGGTTACTTCATGATGTAACCGGTTACATCACTGAAAGTTTTGATTTTTTTTTAAAAAACTCATTGAAAACCAATGTCAAATGAATTAAATGATGGTTATGCATATGTATGAAAATATAAGTAATTTTGAGCACTTAGAATATATCAAGGCTTGAATTGAAACTTGTACCAATAAAAATTGAAGATCAATCAATGAAAGCTCATCTTCATGAAAGTTGCATATTTATCAAGTCTTGATGCATAGCTCTTTGATTTTTTGAACATCCTTTATTGATATATTATGATAGTTGTATTCATCAAAACAAAGTATTTGGAGAAGCTTGAATTCACAGTTACAACACATAGATTACCCTCAACCACCCACCTTAAGGCCCAAGTCATCCACACTATTCAAAACAAATATTTAACTACCCCTCACAACACTCTAAAATAAGAGTATAATAAATAATACAAATAGTCAAATATAATCTTAAAGTCCTTTTAACCGGTACTTTTTGGAACAAAAAACTTGAATCCTATATATAATTTTGGACTCTTTTTTCCTTCACAACTAAACGACGTGGGACTTCGAAGAACTTGAATCTTATATATAGTCTTGAACTCTCTCTTCCTTCAAAAATTAAATAATGTAAAACTTTTTCAACATGTACATTTTCAACCAACTCCAACAAAAATATCTAAAAATACAATACTTTGATACATAAAATGCACTCTTAAAATTTTTGAAGTCTTTGAGAGGAAGATATAAGGGATAACCCAGTGTACGAGGCTCCCATTTTATGGATTTTGGAGGGTCGGATGTATACAGCCTTACCCCTGTTTTTATAATAGAGGGGCTGTTTCCAACAGGTTTGAACTCATGATCCCAGAGTCGCAATGGAAAAACCTTACCATTAAGAGGAAGATATTTAACAATAAACGTATGAAACTTCTAACAAACTTGTAATACTAATAACTAACCAATTTTAACTATATTTAATAAACTTCAACTATATATATATAACAAAATCACAAATGATATCCAACAGTATGAATGAAATTTCAGTCCAAGTCCTCAAATAACCTGGTTTGACTCATGTTGAAATCTCACACTGAGCGCACTTTCTTAATAGTGCCAGCATTACATTTCAACCGATAACAAAAAAGTCCTCAACACAAAAATGTTGCTAACATATATTTCAAAGTTGACAATATACTTGTTATATGTAATTTTCCTCTTTTCAACCAATAAATGTCATTTACATAAAGTCTAACATTCTCCTAAAAAATAAACCAACAATAAACATATCGAATTATCACCATATCATTACAAATCAAGATACAGATATTGATGATCTAGGTTTATATGAAGTATCTTCTTCTCCAAGTAAAAGTGCTTTCAAAATTGCCTCACCTAAGCCACTATAATGTACAATCAAATGGCCACCATCTATAACTTCATGATATTGTATCCATGGTAGCTTTTCTGAAATGAATCTTTGAATTTGAGAGGGAACTACTTTATCTTCATAGCCTTGCCAAATGTGAACTGGACTTCTGTTTTTGTCGGGAAATGGATTACTAAGCTTCATTGGATCAAATTCCCACTTTCCAAAGGCAATCATCCAATCGCCCCTTAGAGTGTCAAAAACAACTTGGTGCCTCAGCATATCCTATAAATCGGAACATAAATACAATCATCACATTTACCATCGCAGAAAAAGTATTACAAATATTTTAAGAATCGGACTAGACCAACCGCTTAGACTGGGAACCAGTCCGTCAGCCAATTTGTTCAACTATGGTCGGTTCTCAGTCTCTTAGAATCAAATCGAACTAGGTTGGACCTTGGTTGGTTAAGCTCATTTATTTTATTAGTACTTACTAATTTATTTATTAGTTGTCTGGTTCAATCAATTGAACTACAAACGAAGGTCTCACCAGTTCAATCTCCGGTTCAATTATTAAAATATTAGTCTGAGTCGTCTCAAGTTTTTGGAGGCGTTGTGTAGGTTAACCGCAGTTTAACCATAGAAAAATAAATAGAGATCCTATTTAACACGAATCTAACTGTGACAATATTTTATGAGGTCCTATTTAACCACGGTTAAACCTTGACAAATTTTTGACCTTGTACGATAGCTCGCTTTGCACGCCCTCAAAGACAACCCTGATATTATTAGTTATAATACAAGTTTCAAAATACTGTGACCGCAATTCAATCTGCAAAATCAATATTTTTTATTGCGCTGCAACCATGATTGAAGTAGTATCAATCACATTTGACAGCGATTTAAAACTCTACTACAACACTTTAAACAAGTTGAAAGAAACATGTCATTTACCTTGGTAAGCATCGGAAACCCGGGAATTATCTCTAAAATTTCTAAATCTCTTTTGTTGAAGAATGCGGGGTTTTTCTCTATGACAGAATTCGAAGGGAGCCACGTTTGAGTCACCCACCAGTGTAATAGTCGAGGCGAATACCTTGCAAGCCACATAGCTATCTTGACAAGTTTCTTTCTATAATCATCCTTTACGAGACTCTTTGGAAGGGAAGGCCATTCATAGTTGATGATTGGTGCTATCATTGCCACACCAGCTAGCCTTCACAAATGTTGAACTTGTCGTCAAATTAACATCGCATTTTTAACATAAACTCAACATAGAATTGTATAAAAATATGGTCCCAAGTTTTAAAAATATGATCAAAATTGCATTTAAGCCGCATAATTTAAAAATTGAATTTGCAACTAACCTGTTAGGGATATAGTTGAGACAACTCCAGGTAGCATGTGATCCCATTGAAACTCCAATCACATAAAACTTTGATCCTATTTGTAACTGATCAGCTAGTTCTTCAATGTCAAGTGCTTCACTTTTCAGTGATCGTTTCGGATTTGGATCGCTCTGTCCATAACCAGCTCGATCATAATGCAGAATATATACTCCTAGTTCATCTATTACTTCCTGCAGATTCAGTGTCAATGTCATTTTAGTTAGCATATTTAATGGATGCAGTGCAACTTCAAGGTGATGAAAAGATGCATCAAAATTCAGAATCCATTATAGTTTACAACTCATTGGATAATTAGAGAAAATTACATTAACCTTCCCTACAAAAAATAAACTGCGGCGATTTTCTATCATTCAAACTTTAAGGATTTCAGATTACAACATGTGTTTACATTATCCTTAAGCTGTTGCGACCTGCCCCTACATATCATCAAACTACGAGTCATACTCAAAGTGTGTCCATCAGGCTTATAGGATTGAATTATCGCACACACTTGCGGGGGGGCGTTTTAAACCAGAGCTACTCTATATGGACTTGGCCCAACACTCGGTCATTCCAGCTGTTACAACGCAAATATTTATCGACAAATGCTTGAAATACTCAGTTGAGATACACTTAAAATTAAGATTTTTATATTAAATCTGAAAAAATTCGGATTTAGAGTTTTAAATTTTAGGCTAGAAGAACCAAACTAACGAGGTCAAAATTGTCTTATGTGGTTTTTAATGCGATAAGACACAGAATTTAAAATCACACAGCAATTACGATCTGATGCAGTTGCAGAGGCTACTGCAACAATATTACTCCAACCCAAATTGGAGATAGTCAATTTTAAACCATAATTTGAACATATTGCATCAATTTCCACTCATTCCTCTTAAAATTAAGATCTAAACCCATTAATTCATCATGTCACATAAACAACTCTCAGATCAACAAATCAAAATCTCAATTAAAATCAAATCAAGTGTAATAATAATAATAATACCTGGGATGCTGGAAAATTCATATCTTTAGAGCTTCCAAATCCATGAACAATAACAACACTATGCTTAGCTTTATCCTTTGCAACACCCATTTCTCTATAAGCAAGATACCTGCCATCACTAAGCTTAATCCTAGATGAAACCACATCACAATTCTCATCACCATTAACTGAATCATCACTGTTTGGTGGAGGAAGTTGAGTACCTTGATAAACCATTCCCAATAGACCTATCAACAACACTATAACTGCTTTTGAAACCATCTGAAAAATTAACAATAACAGATATATATAGATAGATAGATAGATCTATGACACTTTTTTTATTAAATATTTATTTTCAGCATGATAATAAATATTCAATCATATATGAAAAAAAATGTATAAGGTAAATTTTTACCTGTCAAAATTGAATCAAAGATGCTTTGAAATTTGGTTGTTGGATAATTTGACTGGTTATATGTATTTTGACTTTGTGAGATTATTTTAAATTTGGATTTATTTAATTAGGAAGCAGCATAAAAAAAAGATATGAGCATCTTGTTCATGTTAGTTTTTGCAGAAAATGGGCCATAGAGTGTGTCAGATTGTTCAGAAAACTTTTTTTTACTCTAATACTAATTCACGCTTATTAATATCTTTGACCCTACATTAAATATTTCCGTGGCTTACGTTTTTTCCATAATCAGATTAAATGTCTGAGTTGGAATATTACCCATTTAAATATAAGATTCTTTCAATAAATATTTGAATCAATGATATATTTTTTATGTATATAAATGTTATTTTTTCACATTACTTATATAAATATTTATAAATAATTCTTTAATACTAAGAGAAGATTTTATTAAAATTTTAATTAGTCAAACTAATTGGGGTGGCAAAGCGGGCGGCACGCCCTATTTAAGCCCGTCCAAAAGTGGGGCGGGGCGGGACATGCCAACATAGGAGTTCAAGCTCAAAAGTCAAGTCATCTCGTTTATTAACGAGTTGGCGAGTTGGCGGGTCAACCCGCTAATTTTTAATTTTTTTAATTTTATAATTTGATTTAATACATAATATAGAAAATTTTAATTATTACCAAAGAAGTCGATAAATAATTTTTTTTAACGCATAATAGAACTTTAAGATGTTTTAAGTCCAAACAATTCAAAAAATTTAATATATAAAGACCAATTACAACAATAAAAACAAAATAAACTCAAACACAATAAAAAAAATATCAAAATAAATAAACAATACATATCATCGTATTCCTATTTAAAAACTAACTACTAAAAGAATCCAATTTAGAATTTACACAAAACTAACAATGATAACAATAACATTGCATAAAACATCACAGTGCATAAAATAGTAATGCGTAAAATATCAACATCAAACTTTCTCACTGTTTACATTATATAGACTATTATATTGACTGATTCTTTAATAGTTAAATCATAAATTTGTCACACATATACACTAATCAAATTCTTCTTTTTTCTTAAAATCAACATCTATTTCTATAAAAAAACATCTAAGTTAATATATTGAAAACTTAATAATTATGCATGTCACACATTTGTTCTTTTATTCCAATCATTTTCAATCAACGCATGTATTAGAAAGTTATAGAAAGAACGTTACAATTGTAATTCAATTTGTTTGTATAATAATTTATAATACAATTCTAAGAGATAAGTGTTGTTTTTATAGTTAAAGTTGTTTTAATTCTTAATAAAAAAGTAAAAATTTTAACAAAAAGTCCGCGGGGAAAACCCGTCCCGCCCCGCTTCGGCCCGCTTTTTTAAACGGGTTAGGCGGGACATGCCAACTTAATATACCGAGCCGAAAACCTCAATCCAGTCCACCAAAAATGACGGGTCAAACGGGTCAACTCAACGGGCCCAACCCGTTTTACCACCCCTATATATCATATTTTGATAAGATTTATTATTTTCTTTAAAGATATTATTAACCATTTGACTTTTTATTTTCAATATGTTGAAGAATTATAATTGTTTGGGTAATGGTGAAATAAAATTTTGGTATGATGGAGTGTGCTTTTGATACAACGAAGATCGAGTGGGCTTATCTGAAAGGTTAACATTTTAATGTTCAAATTTGTGAGAGAATGAAAAATAATGAGAGAGTGATAATGATTTTGAATACTTGAGAATGACGTGTTTTCTATCTTTTATAGTTAAAGCAGTTTAAACTAAAAGCGGGGAGTGCAACATCGGTCGTAATTAGCCATCTGATTTAGTTGGAAGATTGGTAATGCTTTTGAGGTGGAATTGTTTGCTTCAGGCAAGAATAAAGGTACACTTATTATTCGTATATGCTTCCTTGCTTCACCTTTGAGTCCTTCGTGTTGGGCCTTATGGGTTCCCCAAAACAGTTTCCCCTCAAACTATTTACCCTGCTTCAAAGGACAAGGGTTTATCATACACGCCACAAAACGTTTGATTGGTTCGAGGAGACAAAGAACTTTGACATAGGTCACTATCATTGAGAACATTTGCATTTAAATATTTTTATTAAAATAAGTAACATTTTAGGAGGAACAAGATGTGTATCCCTACGTTAGTTGGTAATGATTTTTCCTCTTCCTTAGGGTACTTGAGTATTTTTCTCAACTTTTGATGAAATCTCGATCGATGGTGATGCACAGTGGATCATATGATCCTCTGTGGTTGAGGCACATCTAAAAGATCTATGAAGCATTATTTTTCTCTTTTCTTCCATTCAGGACCTATAAAAGATATTTTTTCTATCTTGTCAACTTAGTTCTTTCTCTAGAGCTATTTTGTTCCAACATCTTGGTTAACCTCACATGTGATATTCGTCTAGCGCCTTTTGACACATATAACGTACCTATTTCTTTTAAGGTAAAGCCAACTTCTTATTCTTGCTTCGCTCCATTTTTATGGTTTTTTTGGTAGTGAATTTTTGATCTCTTCGTCATTCGAATTCTTGTCGTTGGCTTGTTCAATGAGAGTGTTGGATCTTCATATTCCCATTTTGTGTGTTGGCAGTTCTCTTAGAGTGAACATTCCACCTACCATGCATCGCAAGGAAAAGGGAGATATTTCTCCAGCGTAGGTGGATCAAAAAACATTAGATACAACTTCTAGTTTCACCTATGAAGGTGGTTTGGATCGAGCCTTTACTAAGGTGGGGCCCTAGTTTAACTGAGGAATGCTTATCCCTAGGAAATATAAGAGTGTGTGTCATAAGTATGATGATCATGTTATCCCTCTTCATGAGTGTATTTTCTATATGATATGTTTTCGTCTCCCCTTCAACACGTTCGAGGTTGGCATATTCAATCATTTGTTAATCTCGTATTTATAACTACACCCGGTGAACTGGGCTTACATTAAGTATTATAATACTTGTACGAATGTGTTGTACCCTAAAATTTACCCTCCCTTTTTACTCAACACATGCCCATTGAGGTCCCCAACTTGCCCAAGGATGACCAAGAATTGACCAGACAAATTCTCCTCCTAAGGCAATGAACCTCTAACTAGGGTTTCAATTTTCATCAAGATGTGTGAGCTCCAAAGATCTCAAATATTTTCCATGGTTCTAATATGTATTCAAGATAGTCCATGCCAGATATCACGCTTTGCACAAAAAGTTTGCTCAGTCAATTGCTCAAATACTTGAAAATCAACTACAATAGGTCAAAAGTCAAATGTGGCCTATATACAGTCAAACTTCAAGATTTTTTTACAACCTCGACATTTTGAAGTGATATCCAATGAAATTCTGGCAGCAAATACTCAATGTCACAGTGAATGTTATGACACCGTATCTGACATTCTTCAAGACAGTAAATTTAAAAGCAGTAAAGAACACAGTCAATTGTTTACCCAGTTCAGTGTGTAACAACACCTACTCTGGGGGCTACCAAGCCAGAGAGGAAATTCACTATAAGAGATATTAATTCAGGAATAAACCAACCAGTTTATCTCCTTCACTTAAGACCTACCCAATGCAACTTCAATCTAAGTTCAACTTAAACCTGAGTTCCTACTCACTCCCCCTCAATCACAGCAGTGATACTAAACAATTGATTAATGAAATTATGAAGACACTCTTCAGAATACACACTTGATTTTGCTTCACAGCTTTAATCAAGTGACAATCACTCGTGCTTCAAAGCTTGGAGTGATACACAACCCTAACTTGACTTTGCTTCAAAGCTTCAATCAAGTAACACAAACACTCGTGCGTCAAAGCTTTGAGTGATACATAACCCTTACAATCAAATCCTACTCCAAATCACTTATCACAATGATAATTGATTGGCTCACAGTAGTTACAACTATACAGTCCCTTATTGATCTTCTATCAAAAAGTGTGCTTCACCAACAGTCCTCATGAGGAATATATAGGCAGCTATTCTTCGGTTAGGGCTTCCACGAAAATAGCTAGGGTTAATTAGGGTTAACCTCAAGACTTGGTCATAGGTCTTTAACAACTAGATTAGGGTTAAGAAAAGTTAACCTAATGTCCACGTGAGAATCTGATCTGGACTGTATAAACCAGATTCCTGAAAATTCTCAGAAATAACAAATCTGCACAAATGTTAGATCAGTATAGGATGTCTTAACATTGGTTATGACAACAAGAATCATGTTTACTGATTTTGGTAGAATGCAAAAAATATGATCATTGCATAATGATCAGCTAAACACTCATATTGAGCAGCTCCTGTAAGACATTCTCTTTCTGCAGAATGTACCTTGTATCCCAGAATGTTATGACATCAGTCATGACATTCACACAACTGGTTTTACCAAAAAACATGCCAACAACCAATCACTTACAAACTCCCCCTTTGGCAAATTTTTGACTAAAACCCCTAAACAATCAGAGATTAGAAAGCAGCAAAAATTTTAATAACATCTACCAAGTCTAATTCTACCCAAAAACACACAATCTTCTCCCCCTCTTTAGCCATAAATAGGCCAAAGATACTTGTACTTTTAAGTTATACAGTCATCCAAAAGGAATAATAAAAACACAAAGAGAAAAAATCAAAAGTCATTTGCAGCAACAGGTACCAGCAGCAAACTTGTCAACAACACTGATCTTCAAGCACTGTCATCTTTAGAGGAGGCACTATCTTCAGCATTAAGCTGGTCTTCATCAGCATCCCCTTCCCTTATTTGTCCTTCAATCTCCTCCTGTTCTAGTCTAGCAATCAGGTCCTCAAGAGTCCTTTTCCTTATATCAAGCTCCTTGCAGGTTTCCTTCAGCACAACTAT